TCTGTCTAAACACTTACCTTAAGGCTTGCACGAGGTTGAGATCGGCAAACTCATGGAGTTCAACAAAAGCCTGAAGAACTTTAATGTTAAATTCATCCCTAGGAAAGCAAACATGTCATTAAAGACATCCCCTAAAGCAAGTTTTTGCAGTGTCTTATTTTGCAGGACTCAGCTAAGGTTTTTTCACCGTACATGGTTGTCAATGCAAAGGCTGGTGAGTGGGATGCTAGGAGCCTTCGTCACGACTGCTAAGAGGCTGGCAGGGAGCAGGTCACAGGCTCCAGGCCACGGCCCCGTGTGCAGGCCCAGTGCAGATGCTCAGCGGCAAGACTCTTCCCTCAACCTTTAAAACCACCGTAAGGGGGCACTGGTGCCACCCCCACTCATGAGGGGCTCTGAAGCTGCTCCCCCAGGGCCACAAACCAGAAAATACAGGGCTCCTGATGGCCAGAGGCCCTTGGAGGTGGTGCTGCCTGTGGGGAGGCCGCTGCTCATGTACACGGGCTCTGACCTAAGGTTCTTGCTGCAGCCACATTACAGCTTGTGGAGGCTGACGGTGCCAGTGTGTCCCCAGACACCCTGGGATACTGGGCATTCTTGATAAAGTCTTGACCCTACCATAAAAAAAAAAAAAAAGCCACTCTTTTATGGGCCTTGACCAAAGCCCCAGTTGGGGAAGGGGCTGCCTTTGGGGCCCTGCCCTAACTTCTGAGCGCTGGAGAAGGTCAGAAAAGCAAAGTGAATTTCTACTCTCAGAAAAATTAGTAGTTTTCCACCTTTATTCATACCCCCAAGAAACAGGGAAATCACTGAGAAATCTATAGTGTATTTCTAAGCAAAATCTCAAAAAGAAGATGAAGCTTTCCAAGGGAAGGAGAAAGAGGCCACATCATTTTTGGTCCGTCCTTGTCCCCAAGGAAAGGATTCCAGAGGAGCACAGATCCCGTCTGGCTCAGACCACCCTCACCTCTCTCCTGTGAGGGCACGGGAGGAAGTGACCGCTGGATGCTCGGGGGACTGGGGGCAGCACAGCCCCCCTGAGTAACCGCTCAGCCCCCGGAGAGGGGCGGGAGGAGGGCGAGCCCAGGACAGGTTGCCCATTCTCCTTCCACTCACCTCTCCCCCAGGTAGTCCCCGATGACGGTCTTATTTAGGCCTTCTCCTTTATACAGGAACTGGGCTACATCTTCTGGGGAACTCTGCAGCAGGTCATTTTCTATTAGAAATTGAATTCCCTGAAGACCAACATGAGAAAGGAGTGCCGGTTAGGAGGGTGAGCCAGACTCACTGTTCAAAGACAGAGATGCATTTAGTGGAAGGATCTCACTGGTCTGGACACAGCAAAAATAACACCAGCCATACATCAGCACAACTTATTTTTCATATCCCCACACTACAACTTACCCATCAAAGAAAGGTACCTCCACTTCCTGACAAATAACAGGATGAAAGACAAAGAGGCTACTGAACTATTACAGGCAGTTCTTAGAGGTCATAAAGGCAACAGCATCGATGTCCCTGAGCTAAGCAAAAGCTCCCGTTTGCTTCAAACCGGCCCACCCAGCATCTGTGCTGGGGCGCCCAAACCCCTGCTGTTCTTCACTAAATAACCACTTTCCCAGCCTGCTTCGCCTGACTTCTGACTTTGTGACACAGGTCTGATCAGACGGATAGCAAAGGAGAACCAAGAGAACCTCTTCGTGATAAAAGGGGACCAGTCCTGCCTCCCTGGAACACAGATGTGAGGGCCAGAGCCCTTGCAGCCATCCTAGGACATAAGGCCAGGACTAGCACTGGACCTCTGTTCTGCCACCTGGAGCCACTGGACACCCTGGCAGTCACCTCCACTGTGTGAGAAGAGCCCACGGTATAAATGTCTTCATGAGATTTTCTTTTCTTTTCTTTTTTTAATAAGATTTACTTATTTATGCATACAAGAACTAGGGTGCAGGCCAGAGATGTGGGCGGTGAGAGGATTCACCAGAGACAGAGTGGGGAGCAGAATAGGCAGACAGACTGAAATACACTGCTGAGGGAAGCAGCGGGCGAGTTAGGAGAGGTCTGCTGTGCCGTGTGGGTGGCTCCCTGGCTGGGGATCGAACTCATGCTCCAGTGGCTGTGGCTAGCTTCATAGGCTGCGTCTTAACCCCTTGCACCACCAGGGAGGCCCTTCATGAGATTTTCTTACCTATGGCTGAATACATGACCACTGAGCTTCAGCAAGTGAAAATTCATGCCCATCTGAAGGACCTCAGAGGGCAGCCAATAAACTAAATGAAAGGTGCAGACAGGCTGCCCTGGCCTGAACTGACTGTGTCTCGTGATAGGCCCCAATAAGAGCAAGATTCACCTCTAACAGCCTCTGAGCTGCTGGCAAAGCTAGTAAGGGAATAGGGAATTATGTCATCTGTTTTCCTGGAAGCCATTTCTACAATTCAGAAACAATCTCACAACAAAAAACCTATTTGGTGCTGAAGACCAGGGCTCCCTCATACCCAGGCTCCAAGAGTTTGCTGTTACTTTAATATACTACAAATAAAAGTGGCCTTAGAATTTAACGCACACTAAGTTGGTTTAAGAAAGGTTAATTTTTTCAATCCCCAGCCACTGGCGGGGTCCCACCAAAAATAAATAAATAAATAAATGGCTAATTTTTTTTAATCCTTCACAAAAATTTCACCTTCTCTTCCTCTCCTACCCCTAATTAAAATGACCTGACCAAATGTTATCAAAACACACACTATAACGGCAGCAAGTCCTTTCAAGACAAGGATCCCAAGCATTACTGCTGGGCAGACAGGCCCTTCGTGACATGGGCTGGCGTGACCATAAGTCCTTGTAACGCACCCCTGGCAGCTCCAGCCTGTCCGCGGTTTCCTAATTGAACAAAAGCAAAGTCATGCCTCCCAGGTATACCAAATTTCCCTGAAACCAGGGAAGTGATTAAACAGCCTGGTTAACACCTCATGCATCTCCTCTGGTAAATTACGAAGGAATAAAATAGAGTTTGTAGGTAATAGGAGGCCTGGGGATTGTGCTTCCCGGGCATGAGCTGAACTTGGTGTCTCCCACCAGGCTTCTCATATGCAGCCGTCACAGCCTGTTTCATGAGTTTGGTTTTCTCTTGTCAGCAAAAATGTCATGCATTTTAGATGTAATATCAGAATCTGTTTTTGCATATTGACTTCACGTCAATTTATGAAAAAATGCAAGTCCTTGACCGTCTCAGGGCATTTGCAATGAGCCGGGTTCCTTAGAGGTAACAAGGTGGGTCCCTCGTCTCCAGGTCCTGTGCAGCCACAGTATCCACCTCGCGGCCAAACCGAGAGCACTTCAGCGCCTTCTTTTTTCAATTTTGTCACTCATATTGTTGATACCGATTAAATGGTGTGGCCTGATACCATGTTTAGTGTTAAACTGTTCCAATAGCCCAAGGTCAAGTCCAAATAGCCCAGGTCCCGTAAGAACCTGTATTACTACTTTAAATACATGAATGTTCAGATCAGTCTCAAGAGAATTTCCAAAAACTGGAGGAAAAAACCAATAGTCAGTTAATAAGATAACAAATATATTCTGGAATATTCATGGCAGAAACTGGACGGCAACGAGACACAAGGAATGTTCAACAGCTTGGATGAACTGGGCGTGACACGGAGTAAGAGAACTTGGGAACATATCTTAATTCCATTTATGTGAAGTCACTAAAAGGCCACACACGTCTGTGCTGACAGCAGAATCCATACACTCGGAGGGGGTGCCGGGGTGTGCACTAAGGTGCTACAACCGCATATTATTCTGGGTTGCAGTTACACGAGTTGCTTAATTTGTGAAAGTTCTTCAAGCTGTGCATTTAAAACGTGTGTGCCATATGTCATACTTAAAAAAAAAAAAATAGTTCACCAAAAACTAAGTCAGACAGTCCTAAATACACCTCATGATTTTTCTGGGGGGAGCTGCCTGGGCGTCACCCCCTGTGTGAAGACAGGCAAACCTGCAGTGGAGCCTCCAGTTACAACCATGCACCTCTGTCCCCAGAAAACAAGGCCTGGGATGGACGTGGCTTTGGCGGAGATGTGCTGCATGTCCAGCCCCAGTTGACAGAATCGAGTTGTGGGGTGCAGAAGCATCAGCAGGAGGCAATGTAATGCTAAATTAAAGATCATGTAGAACCTATTTTCCTATTATGTATACTGAATCAAATGTAGATAACCAGGGTCATCATTCCTTTTAGGATAGTATTTTGAGATAATTGAGGCTGGGCGGAGGTGTACAGCCTGACCTAACACCCTGACCAAGAGAACAGAGGCCAAAATGCCTCCAGCTGCCTTTACTGAGGTCCATGTTGTGAGGCCTCAGTGACTGTGGATGGGGAGGAAGATTATGCTGCCCCCAAACTGCAAGGGTCAGGGGAGGTGGCAACAGAGGAGTCCAAAGTCCTGCGGCAGGGAATGGCAGGTGTGGAGGCTCCCTGGTTGGCACCAGTGGTGACAGCACTAGTGTGGTCTCTTGTGGCCAAACCTGCAGCAACGGGCCAGTGGTGTTCCGACCCTATGGCTGCAGGCTGTTTTGCAGCTACTTCCCCTCAGCTTCTCCAGCGGCACAACCTCCCATCGGCAGCTCACTCTGCTGTGTGTGCTGGGCGGCCACGGGTCCTCCCAGACCTGCTCTTTCCTGCCCCCAGCTGTCTGCAGCATCCTTCTGCCCAGCAACCTCTAATCTCAGGGCCCGTGCTGCTCCATCAGCTACGCCCCCAGAACTGAGCAGGCTGGGGATGAGGCGCTTATGGGATCTGGACACTCACGACTTGCTCTAAAATTCAATGCTCCCAAAACACTAATGAAGTGTTACTTTCATAGAGTGCTATGAAGCAACCTCACAGGATTTGAGGAAAGTAAATGAGCTCAGAACAAGGTCATTCATCGCTTCTGCACTTAGAGGTTACAGAGGCAGGTGCAGCGGCCCCAAGGAAAGCTCTGGCTCCCTTTGCAAGATACTGCGGGCCTGGTCCCAGAAAACATGGAGCCACAGGAATAGCCCAGGCCAGGGACAAGAGGAGAAAACAGCCAAAAGGCAGAGGAAAGGAGCCAAGGAGGAGAAAGGAGGAGGACAAGGAGGCTGTGGAGGACAGACCCAGATCTAGGGTCTGGGAACCCCGCGATGTGTTCCCCAATGAGACTGGAGAGGTGCCATCACCTCCACGTGACATGGAGGCAGAGGGGGAGGCAGAGACCTCTCATCAGCGAGAACACACTTCTGTTTTCAGCCACCAAGTCTACGGTCATCTGCCATGGGGTCCTACGTGAAGACATGAGGTGAATACTAACAAAAGTAAGTGTTCCAGTAATTAGAACATAACTTACTAGTATTTAGAAAGAGCACATATCTGGTCAACTGTAGAAATGGGGCCCTGTTTCTTCAATCCACGACCATGCACGTCCTTTTCTGTGCAGACCCTCCTGCTACCTGTTCTAGGTGTGTCCTGTGAATACAGCTGCATTCACTTCCTAGTGTTTTGAGTGCACTGAATTTTAGAGCAGGTTATGCACATCCAGAAGAACAAGACGTCAACATTTAACGTGAGTCACACTTCCTCACCTGCTGACATCTAGCAAACCTCAGCCGACGCTCACTCCCCCACATGCCACCTCTACATTCACATACTCAGGACTTGAGCTTTTAAACCATTCTTTATCAAGCTCCAGTGTAGACTTAACTACAAGTTTCACTGGTTTCAGTTGCTCTTGGATTCATTTCTTGTTTTGAGATGTCTACTCGGATGACTCAATTTTTTGAGACCAGAGGAGGTCTTTGTAGTTAAGTGTCTGAGGCCTGGCATGTCTGAAAACACCCTCGCTCACCTCCTGTACCTGGGTTGATGGACATAATTCCAGACTGTAGCTCCCTTCTCCACAGACCCTGGAGAACACTGTCTCCCCCATTATCTTTGGGGTTGCTGCCAGTTAGCTGGGGGTGATTCTTGTTCTTATTCTGCCCTTTCTTTCCTCTTTATCCACTAGTGAGTTTCTTTTTATCTACTAGCTTTGGGATATTTTACTCAACATATGGATTTAAAAAAAAAAAAATCCTGCTTGGCATTTGGTGAACTTTTTGGAATTGAGGATTTCATCATAATTTAGTTCTGAAATATTCTACTATTTCTTTGAACTATTTCCTCCACTCCCTTCTTCTCATTCCTTCTGGGGCTTCTATGAAATGACATCTGAGCTGCGAGACCTGGCAGTAGTTCTGGGCAGAACCTTGGAGACCGTGATCCAGCTCCATCTCCCAGCTCACGGTTCACATCCACCCCCCACCTCCCTCTCCGTCACAGCCAGTTCTTGGGCTTCCATGTGACGCCCCTAGTTTTTGTTTCCAAGGATCTTTTTCACAACTCCCTGTAATTTTATCATGGATAAGCAACATCCTTTCACACTCCTGATGGTATTTGTAATATAGAGAGATGGTCTATTTTAGACCATCTCTCTTTCTATTGGGGTTGTCTCCCCAGTATTGGTTCTGTTTGTTGAGTCTCATGTCTCTTTCACAGTACTGGCTTCTGCCCGTGTTTGATCACATGGTGTTGGGTGATCATCTTTGTATTTAAGACTCACTGGTAGCCTCATTGAATGCCCTGAGTCTGGTTTTCATTGTGTCTGCTTCCAGGGGCCTTACCCAAGCAGAGGGCGTGCACAGCCAGGTGGGGGGTTGACAGCTGGCTGCTGGGAGGGCAGCCATCAGAGGCACAGCCTGCCCTCACGCGTGTATCCTCTTGCTTCTGAGAATCGCCTGGGGGCACATGCCACTGCTCAGCAGCATGCAGGGCAGGGTGAGCAGGCCAGACAACCCCCCCGCTCGGTCTGCGCCTATATCTGCTGCCCCAATGTTGGCCAATGCTGCACCCCTGTCTCCTGGTTCTTTCTTGTATGTGCTTCTGGCTGTTGCTTCCTTCAACTGATCCCATTTATTGTCTGCCTTTCAGATTCCTTCATTTCTAGCCCACTGAATGAACTCCCGCTTGTTAGAGATTTATATCTCACATAAAGGCATTTCTAGGAAATTGGGAATAAATGGGAGAGGATGTAGAGTTTGCCTGCCAACCCCCCTTCCTTGATCTAATCAATTTTCCTCTTATTATTTATAAACCCACTGTATCTGGGCATCTAATGTACCTGAACAAACCAAAACTCCTTGCTCAAAATGTTATCATTCAGTGACAAAAAATTTCCTACTAGCCTGGAAGAATGTACTTACTCTGACAATAGCCTCAAGTTTCACAAAGCCACATGGTTTAATAGGTTCAAGAGGTCAAGAGTAAATATAATTTGGAATTGTGTCCAAGACACGTGAGATCATCCAGTGCTATTATTGACTGAATGTTTATATACCCGGAAAATCTCTATATTGAAGCTCTAAGCTGAAATTTTATGCACTAAATGGAAGGGGGGTGGCCTTTGGGAGGTAATTAGGATCAGATGAGGCCATAAGAATGGGGTCATGGTCTGATGGGATTAGTGCCATTATAAAAAGACATCAGAGAGCGACTGTCTCCTCCTGTTCCAGAACCTGACAATGGGGCAGCCTGATCTCAGACTTTCAGCTTTCAGATTGTGAGAAAATTAATTTCTATTGCTTAAACCACCCAGCCTCTAGTATTTTGTTATGCTAGCCTGAGCTAAGATTAATGCTATAACCAACTCTACAAAACCAGAAAATTGTGATCATTTCCCCAGCAACGGGTCACATGCAGACTAAATATGCCATCTGTTTTTATCAAGCAACAGAACTATAAGCTGGTTGTTGAACAGAATATATTTTTAAATCTCTCAGGTGAAGAAGAATGCACACAGGACAATTTGCTGCAGGCCAGAAGAAGCATTAGCACCCACTTCCTCAGACGTGCTGAGCAGAGGCCACAGGGCTGACCAATGGTCTGAGGTATGCAGGCTGGACTCACCTACAAACCAACCACACAGTCCTGCAGGAGCTCAGGGAAGTGTAGTGGCCACAGCATGAGTCTCAGAGTGGGATTCCCTGCTCAGGACACGGGCCTAGCATTGGCTGCTCTGTGCCTAATTTTCTCCAATCATGAAACTGGAATTAAAATAGAGCCTACCTCATGTGCTTGTTGTAGGGTCTAAAGTGCTTACTCGACAGAGTTCCTATCCATGTCAGCCCTGGGAAACTGGACACACCAGTGTATGTGAAAGACGACGGGCAAGAACCTAGAGAGAGGACGTCCTGAGCGCTTCCTGCAGAGTGGCAGCATGATGTTAAGACAGTGCATGTATGTGCTTCCTGAGCACAACCTGGGAGAATCTGCACGTACCCATAAACTGATGGGTGTGCCACTCTGTCCTGCACCTTAATACATAAGGTCCTGTTTTAAAAACACACTCCTGATGGTATTTATAATATAGAGAGTGCTAAGTGGTCTTTCTCCTGAGAGAGATCCAACTGGTTACTAGATCTGCTGGTATCTCAACTCTGCAAACTCCACTAAAAAAAACCTATCTGTTACGAATCCCAAATATATGAGTCATTCCCAAACTTACAAAATCGTTCCCTCAACAATTTCATTCCATCTCAGAACTGATTGATCCCGTAGGCAGATAATCAGGAAGCAACAGGGAAATTCACAGTGGCTGCAGCACATCAGTTAAATAAACCCCCCCCCCACCTCCTGCTGCAGATGTGCTGTACTTTAAGAAACTCCAAATTTGCAAACCAAGAATCGGGAATAATGGTATGCATTTCTTTCTTTTTTTTTTTTTATTTTGACATTTAGGTTTATTTTCCTAAATTGCTTCAAGTCACTTACCTTTTTTTTTTTTTAATAATGAATGATCATTTATTTTTTTTTTATTTTTTTTATTTTTTTTTAATATTAAATTTTATTTTTATATTCCCCCATACAATTGCAAACGCCCCATTCTGACCCCAATCCTTCCCCTCCCGCCCCCCACCCCCCTGCATTTCTTTAAATACCACTTGCAACTGAGCTTGCACCTCTAAATGCTAAGTTTACAGATCTTAGCCCTTGCACAGTGTAATTCCTGTAATTAGCAAACATTTTTTTAATGAACAAATAATTAACTAATTAGAACAGATGCTCAATGTCAAAAAAAAAAATAAAAAGGGAGCTGTTACACATGGATACTAACTAAAGGTCAGTGAGGACTGAGTGAGTTAGTCTCCTAGTTATCCATCCGTGGGGGCTCCCCAGGGACACCTTCTTCCTCTCCTAGGCCACCAACACTCCTCATGACTGACTCAAGTCTGCTCTTCTTTCTCAAAATCAAAATGGGGTTCCAACTGAGCCCCATGTTCCAAAAAACTTTACAGATCCTTTAGCTCAGCTTCAAAAAATAAGCAGCCACATGTTTCAGCTTTCATTGTTTTCAGGTGTTTCCTAGAAAACTCACCTTGAAGAAAGACCTAAATATTGGCTTAAATCTGGAGAGTTCCTTGGTTTCCACAGAGACATCTTCTGTCGATGGTGAATGAAGGGAATAAGGGCCTCTTACTTGAACCATTTACTCACTCCGACCACAAAGTCTACACTGCACAACTGATCCACTCTCCCTCTGCTGTTGCCAAACCCTGCAAACCCAGGCTGCAGGGCCCGGCTCTGCCTGGTGTCAGAGATGGACCCAAATGAGGGTGCAGGCAGTTCCCACAGGCCCAGAGACTGGCTCAGAGAGATGATTTTGCTTCCCCACACTCATCAGCAGCCTCTTTTTTGGTAAAAAAAATTCAATGTCAACTTTCAGTATTTTACAAGCTGACATGGCCATGTCTAAAAGGGAACAAGCCATGAAAATCCATCCGTCCATCCATCCCTGATGACGTCCTCTTACCTTTTTGGGATCCATGTTAAACTTCTTTCTTCCCATCGCTATCTGCTTATTCCTCTGAGTCGTTTTGCTGTGCACATGAAGTGACGAAGAACTCGTTACCAGTCATTTGCACAAAGCACCTGCGTGCACAGCCCCCAGGCTCCACGCCACCGCCCCCTTCACATCACTGAAGGAAAAGCACTGGTAGCACACAGGCTCCCACTCCCCGGGGGAGGTGGCACCTGCACGCTGCCATGCTCTCACTCGCATTCGATAACTAAACTTCATGATGAGAAATAGCAAGTTAAGAAAAGCACAGTTTCCTATTATACAGAAAGGCTGTTTATGTGCAGGTGACTTCTCAGGAGTCTGAGCTTCTGCCCAAGACTCTACGGGCCACAGCGAACCAGAAAAAGTAGGGGAGAGAAGCAGCCCCAGAGGTGCCCCTGAATCCTCTGCAAAGCAGAGGAAGGGAAACCGTGACTCCAGCCCCGACCCCTTGTCTCCTGCGGCCATCACCCATGCAGCTGAGCATGCATGGGCTCAGCTGGATGATGGGGAAAACAGAGGCAATAACTTGAAGGTGTACACAAAAGGGTTTACCTCTCCTCCACTGAAGTCAGATTGTCAATCTCTGTCATCACTTCAGCAATTTCATATTTCAGCCTCTGTCAAAAAAGAGGAAAGCATTTTGGGGGTGGAGGGTCTTTACCTTCTCCTTGCAGATAAGGGAAATGCAAGCCTCTGTGCACCTGCTTCCCTGAGGGCTCACCTGGACAGCACAGCTTTGGAAAAGCAAGACTGTTTATCCACACACACCTTCGTAGCCAGAGCCACCCCAACTAATGAGGAAACAAAACTGTGGCTTGTCAACCCTTCTCAGGAGATCAGAGGGTTCACTAGACATTTTCTAGTGTTTTCAGGGTAATATCAAAGGGGGACACTGGGAGGACTTCACAGGTATAAAATAGATAAAAACAGCTGAAGAAAAGCAACACACTCGTAGTGTGCTGAGCTCAGCGACTGCGCATCACCTCACACACACCTGCCGTCTCCCAGCACTACCTAAGTTCTTGGCAAGACCGACTGGGGAAGCAGCTGAAGTGTTAATGTTTATTTTTATATTTATTTTCTTACATCATTGCTCAATTTTGGACAGTATTTGACTCTCCCCTCAGGTGCTGTCCCTGTAGTACTCCCACAGCCACAGTCCCCTGGAGCCATTCTGACCCCTCGCTCCGCCTCCCCTGCTGTGGGCCTCAGCTCTGTGGCGAGTGTGCCAGCAGTCAGGATGGCCTATCACGTGCGTGAGATACAGCACCATGGACAGAGCCCAAGAGCGCCTCACCTGTGGCATCAGGCACACCAAGAACCGCACAAGGACAGGCTCCACCTTGTCCAGGCTCCACCTTGTCCCTTAAAATACCTTCCTGTTCTTCAACCAAAACACCTATTCTGGGTAATCTAATTTGTCCACGGATAAAGGGTAACCTCAGAAGGAAAAGTTCCAGGAATTATCTTTCAAATACAAAGACATTTTTATTCAGAACCCTGTAATTTTGTGTGCCAAGAAACTGCAGGCTCCAAATGCCAGCTCTTAGAAAGGAGTTATTGTCTGGACAGGGCCTGGTCTTGCAGTATGTGGTCTACGAGGCTGCATTTATTTTGGCATGACAATGATTAGGAAGCTACTAGAAGAAGAGCCACATGTTGGGTTGACTTTCCCAAGGAAGACCTGAGAGGAAGCAGTGCCAGTCTCCGGAGTGACTTTCCCAGACCCCAAAGACACCCAACCCTGAGACCGGCTGCTCCTCCTGCAGCCCCCTGCCCCCGCACTCTGAGTACACAAATGCGGAAAGTGCAGTGTTTATTTGCCTGTGTATGTGCAGTCATCTGTTTTATTCATCATTCTGCTTCCAATAGCTAGCAAATGCTCAGTGCACAGCTGGAACTCAATGTGTTTATTCATCCATCAAAAGATATCCAAGTGCCAAAAATGTGACAGGCAATGTTCTAGGTGCCGGGGGCACTGGTAAGAGGGACAGGGTCTAGTGCTGGAAGCACCAGTAAATGAAACAGGGTCTCTTTATTTCAGAGAGCAACATGATAGAGATTGCTGCTGGTTTTTTTCAGATATCCCCTATGCCGTGGGGGTCTATTTCTGCTGACTCCAATTTCTGTACTATTTCCAGAGTCTGTACTAACTGGTTTAATAAGCACCATCTCTGCTTTACCAACTTTCACCTTGTGTCTTCATGTGGTTCAGATATACACATACTAGACACCAAATTTTTACATTTTTATGAAGCTACCTGATTTACCATTTTAGCCCAAAGCAAAAACAAAGGGGAATTTTTTTTTTACCTCAATGTCATCAATAAGTTCCTTTTTCCTCCGACGAATGTCTAAAAGTTCTTCCCTCTCTTCTAATGAAAGGTCTTCAGGCACTGAAAGGGAAAAAAAAAAATCAGACTGAACAATTATACCATAACTGCATCATAGAACAATCTGGCAATGTCTGGTAAGGCTGAGGATAGGCATATTCAGCAAACCAGCACTTCTGCACAGGGGTGTTGACCCCTAAGGGGTTCTAGAATAGAGACCTCATGAAAAACATTCACAGCAGTTATGATTTCAATAAAAAAAATCTATAAATATTCATTAATAGAGGGATAAACTGGTTTATTTACTAAACAGGATTCTACACAACCAAGAATAGCTGTACTTCCTCTACCAATGTTGAAAAGTCTCACAAATAAAATGGAGACAATCACATGGAGTCTAAACAAACAGCAAATAAAAACCCAAGGCACAGAGTGGGAGAACAGACTGGTGACTGTTAGAGGTTAGGAGTGGAGGTGGGGGAAAAAAGGGGGCCAAAGTTATAACCTTCCAATCATAAAATAAAAAGTACAGGGCATGTAATGATGCAGAGCACAGTGACGCTAGCTATAGTGTGTTGTATGTTTGAAAGATGCTAAGAGAATAGATCTTAAAAGTTCTCATCCCAAGGAAGACAATTATAACTATGTGTGGTGTGAAACAAACCAGACTTAACAGTGGCTCTCTCCCACAATATACACATCCACTGAATCACTGTGTCCTACTATACACAGCACACTGAATGTTATGCAGCAATCACCTCTCAATTTGAAACAATGGAAATGTAACAAAGACATTTTCAAACACTAAGTGATCTGTATTACCAGAAATGTGAAAGTCATTCTGGAAAAAGGACAAGAGATTAAAAAGTACTGTAGATAGTAACTAATGAGTAACAATTTTCCCTGTTAAAAGCAAAGTAACAAGAATGTTGCTGGGTTAATAATAACATGATATAGGGACACAGCACAGAGGCTGGGAGGTGAGAAATGGAAGTTACATGGTAATAAGGTTCTTATCCTAGGTACAGAGTGGTAAAAATTTTTTTAAGTTTTTTTTCCCAAAATTTATTCATATAAAAGCTGGGGTACAGGCCAGAGGTGCAGGAGGATGAGAGGATTCACCAGAGACAAAGCAGGGAGCAGTACAGGCAGATGGACAAAAGCACAGCTGAGGGAGCAGCGGGCGAGGAGAGGTCTGCCGCGCCATGTGTGAATCTCTCTGGCCGGCTGGGAATCAAACTCGTGCAGCAGAGGCTGCGGACAGCTTCACAGCGCTGCGCTCAACCCTCGGAGTGGTGAAATTTGAAGGCAGAGTGTGATGAATTAATGGTGTATAATGTTTAAAAATCACTCAAAGTATGCAGTAATACTGTATTAAGAAATTCAGAAGCATGACTTTCCTTACTAAATTTAATAAAATCTTACACCCCATCAATTGCAAGTCAGAGATGTTAAAACATGAATAAATTGCAGATCAAAATAAAAGGGAAATGGTTCCATATTGCACCTCAAAGTTGTCTTTCTAATTTTCAAAGTACATTAATAATCTAGGTAACTAACAGTATTACTGCTGTCAATACTGAAGAAACCCTTACAAGCTTTAAGCATGCACACACCCACATGACCATCCAAACAGCTCATCAGCAGCCACAACTTCTCCTGAGCGGTAATGTTCCCCAGGAGTAGCTGTGCCGTAAGCCCTCACTGTTTCAGTCTATATCAAATGTAATAATTTGATGAATTACCCATTGCAAAAAATTTGGTAGTAGGTGATAAAACAGCAGAAGCAGATGACTCACAACTGCATATTTTGGGCTACCCATCCCTAAAAGAAACTGCTATCTTGTTCCCTTCATTTGACCTGTATTAACCATCAGTATAACTGGTTTGCTGGGATATGGGTATCTGTGGAGCTCTGACCAGCTCAGCAGCAAGCCAGTTCCACAGGGCACTGAGAAGGTGGACAGAGCATGGGCTTGGTCTCTGGCCCCTGGTATTCACTAAATGGGTACTCTGCACAAGGAGCTGTGGTTTAACCTAAACAGAAACAATACGTATCTTATAACACAAAAAAACTGGGTAGTGATTTAAATTAACTGGACTTTCTAGCGCCTACTGGAAGTAACAGGACTATGTCAAGAGCAGAGGGAAGGCTGGGGGCTGTGAGCAGTTCTGTTCCATCACCAAAGACGATCTGCCTTCAGTGAGGTGACGGAGCAGTGCTCAACCATGACATACAAGTGGCTGTCTGGGCCTGGCCTGTGTTAACACACGCAGGAGTGGGAGGTAGAATGGTCCAGATCACGAGGGGCAAGGACTACACTGCAGGAGCTGGCTTTCCTGCCTGGGGGCATGAAGAACAGTTACCCCCCATGGAAAGAGAAAGAGGCAGACACTCCTCTTGGGAGGCGAGTTTCTCACAGGAACCACTCAGATCCACCACTCAGATCCACCACTCACTCCTCCCACACCATATCATTTCCCCTCAACCCTGTTGTGCTTATCTTTGTCCCATGACACCCATTCTTTGCCCAGCCCTCTCCGGATTAGGTGAAAGAACATTTTTATACCATTAAACACTGAAGTGCTTGCCACAGCACACCATCATCAGGGGAAATCCTGAGGGTGAACTTCAACCAAGAGGAAAAAACCCAAGCTGGGAGGGGTGAGAGGCAAGAGGGATGGTGAGTTCGGATTCAGGGAGGAAATCTAAAGAAAAGGTGATGATGTGAAACAACAATGCCTCATAGAACAAAGGGAAATAAAACAACAATGAAAACACGTAAACAGGAAAAAGAAGTTAGAATCGAGAGGTCTAAGGAAAAGGGCACATATGATTAACTTCAGACTTAGCAGGAAAAGAAAAGGAATGGAGGTTCAACTTGGGAAAGGGGAAGAAAACCTGGAATGAGAAAAATAATTTTAAAAAAGACAAGAGGAGCACGGGGGGGGGGGGGGAAGATACTACATGTCAGTGTTAATTATATTTCAATAAAGCTGAAGTTTGAAAAAAGAAAAACAGCAATGGTTAGAAATACAAAATACAAAATATGAGTAGAAAAAAATTCCTAATATGTCTATTTCTACTTTGCTAGACAGGAGAGCAAATCCACAATACTTTGAGTGTCTCCTACATCAAGAAGGAAAAACTATTTCCAGCAATGAATCCATACTGGCTCTGGGATGTCCCTTGACAAGAAAGTGCGGCAAAAGCAACTTGGGGTAGGGTCTGTAGCCAGGTCTCCAGGGGACTTGAGCCTCTGCACCTCGGAAACCCAAGACCACCATGCTTGGGGAAGCTGGGCCTGAGACCTTGAGAATTAAATCTACTGTGGAAAGAAACCACACGCAGAGTCAAGGCCCAGACACCCAAGCCGCACAGTCACCCCACTGAGACCGACATATGATTGGCGTCAGCAGGAGAAGCTGAGCCCAGCTGACCAGCAAGCTGAACACAGGCACAGGGTGAGCCTCAACAGACCAGTCTCGAGCTGCCAGCTACATCATGGGACCGGGAGACAATAAACTTGCGTTGTTTTTAGGCCAATGACTCTGGAATACCTTACCACGCAGTCATAAGTCACTGACGTATTTACAATGAACAGAATGGAAAGAAGGACCAAGTTTTAAAAAGCTGAACTGAAACACAGAAACAAAAAGTTCACTTAAATACTCTGTAAGAAACACATTGAAAATATAAGATTACCTAACACTGAAGGTGAAAGAATAGAAAGGACACAGCAGATAAGCCCTGTCCTGAGGAGTGCGAGGCCTGCTGTGTGAGTAGAGGAACAACAGTGGAGAGGGACAGCCACCAGGTGATGATGACTAATCACACAATTAACAAGTCTGATCACACGATCAAGATCTAGCAAGCAAAAATTGATAGACATACATGTAAAAATGGAATTTTTTCCATCAGAGGTTTAAAAAAAAAGGTAAAAATATAGATTTGACTAACACATTTAGCCAGCTTGACCTAATGGACATAACTCACTTCACCAATGTTAAGATGCACTGTTTGCTCACGTTTCCACAGCTCTGGAGTAAACTGTGACACCTGTAGGTCACCACCTACATACCTGTGGACGTGCCTTCTCTGCCTAGAAGTGTAACTGAACAACTGCTACTCTTTCGTGTCTTTGTCAAAAACAAAATTTAAGAACCATCTGATGAAAGAGTGTGAGCTCAGTTATTACTTCAAACCTTTCACTGATACCTTCTGGTAAGGACAAATAAATCCTCATGGGAAAATCTGCAGAATCTGAAAACTTCCCAGAGATGATTGAGGAGCACTCTTTTAAGGAATGCCACACCCCCGGTGCCTCCCCAAAGGCAGCACTGCTCAACCACACCATTCCAGCCACTGAGTGCAAGAGTGACTCCAAGGAGCAAGGCACTGATTGTGAAGTTCTCAGGGATATCCAGACCGACATGTTTTGCTCAGATTTTACCTTTTATATGTATGTACAATGAAAGTTTATAAAAATTCAATGTTTAAGTTTAAAGAACTCTTCCAAGCATTGTAAATAAAACATTCTAACTAAGAAGAAATCACGAAGTCTGGTTGAGTTTGCAGCTTTTTCTGTCTTTGTAGAATGTAAAATAATGCTGCATCTTATAACCACAGGAGACACAGTCCAGCCAACTCACTGTACCCACCAGCTGTGTGATGCATGTTCTTCTCAACACAGGGGGGAAATTTATGCAAACTGACTGCACGCTGGTCCATTAAGGGAAGTCTTAATAAATTTCACAGGACTGGTGGGATGGATGAAATGAATTGGCTTTCCTCAACCTTGAAGGTACCTTACTTACTGTAAAGCAGAGGTTAGAAAGCTCAAAATCACATCTAGGCTTCAAAAGATGAATTCAGCTCCACCAGTGGGGTGCTCTGCACCAGATTCGGAACAAAGGAATGAAGCAGAGGTCCTCGTTCTGCCCTTTGACAAGGCTGTTTCTTGGCTGGCTACCGAGGATGGGCAAGTGCAGGTTTTCCTGGAACAGCGTTCTCATGTTCACTCTCCAGCTTCCTGGGAATTAAGAGCACTGCAGCAGCAGTGCCTTCTTGATTTACACTTGTGGACCCCACGGCAGCTGGGGTTGCCTCTATGACCTAATTCTGGACCCCCAGGCAAGAGCCCATTCCTCGAGCATTTCCAGGGCTATGGAAAGCAGCTCTGTTATACATGGTCCCTTCCTGCCCAAATACTCAACATGCATCATGTTTCTCGCATGAGACTCTAATGGTAACAATGCAAACTGATTACACGCTGGTCCATTAAGGGAAGTCTTAATAAATTTCACAGGACTGGTGGGATGGATGAAATGAATTGGCTTTCCTCAAAAGCAGCTCTGTTGTACATGGTCCCTTCCTGCCCAAATACTCAGCATGCAACATGTTTCTTGCATGAGACTCTAATGGTAACAATGGGTACCCTAAGGACCACATTCTCTGACCACAGATTACATCAGAAACCAACAATAAAACTGATTAAAAAATCCATTTGTTTGGAAATAAACTATTCTAAATAATTCATTGGTCAAAGATGTTATGACAATGTACATTAGAAAATATTGTTCAGAGAATGATGATGAAAATAGTACCTACCAATACTTGTGTGCTGCAGCTAAAACAATACTCAAAAACTCACATCTTAAAATCCTTGTTTTAGAAAATAAGTGGAAAATGATAAGCTAAGCGTTCACCTTAAAAATAGGAAAAATAACATTTTAAACCCAAGGCAGAAGAAAATCATTTTTAAAATGCAACAAAGTACAGTCACTTTGGCAAACAGTTTGGCAGTTCCTCAAAAAGTTAAACAGGTCTTACACATGACCCAGAATTGCTCTCTAGGTATTTACTCAAGAGAACCGAAAACAGGTCCATACAAAAGCTGGTACATGAATGTTCACAGCAGCATTATTCACAATAGCCAGAAAGTGGGAACAAGCCAAGCATCTACACAGAGAAGAACAGAGAAACAAAGGGGAGTGCTGCCACACCGTGGAATGTTATTCAGCCAGGAAAAGGAGTGAAATGCTGGGACACGTTGAAAACATGCTACCAAGCAGAAGCCAGCCACGAATGAGTCCACTTACAGGAAGTGTCAGAGCAGGCCAGGAACACACCAACACACTTGTGACAGAAACCAGACGAGTGGTTAACCTGGAGGGAGGGGTGGGGAGAGTACTGAACTACAAGGGGCACAGGAGAGCCTGCTAAGGTGTTGCATGTATGTGTATCTAAAAGCATTTGAGTTTTATGTACACTTCACATTTGGGTGCTTCATTTCTTGCCCCAAAAAGTCAACTTCTGACTAAGTGATCCCTTAAATTCCTCAGACAAAGGGAAGAATTTCCTTTAAAAAGACATTCAAATAGCATTCTAAGAATCTGCAACACACTAATAGAATTGGTGTTAGTCCACTTCAGGCGACTGTAAGACAATCAGGTCTGAGGTACAAACCCGGTCTGATGGCCTGCTGCCTGCCTCTGCCTTGGCCCCTGTGGCTACAAAATACCAAGCACAGAATAAAGGCCAAGAAGTCACAGTGGCATTATAAAGGGCAAGACAGAGGGATCTAACTTTTTTTTTTTTTAAGAGCAATTACACTAACAACAGGGTAACAGTTGAGAAAACCTAAAATCCTTAGATTATGGGATGCATCCTATCTTATGTCCCATTAAATAGGCACTAACACTACCAACTCTAATTTTAAGATGCCAAACTGGAAGATGCAGTTCCATTTCAGAGATTAAAATGTACACCCTAGAATCAATATCACAGTTATAAAAATGCTTTACGATTGAGTATCATTTCTCCTTAACTCAAAAATATTTTTTGAACAGAGAAAACATTGCTAAGTGTTCTGGAAGATGATACCTCTGAAAATGCTGTTATTCTTCCCAGTCTCTCCTGCCTTAGGAATGCACACCTATCACTGGGGGAGGAAGGTACAACTTTTTGTACAATATAAAAATGGTAGATAAAATTAGCAATAAACAGGATTAGAGCAGTCGTGAATTTTTTAAATAGCTGCTTTGTCTTTCTACCCACATAGTGTTGCACTGCCTCCAAATCACCATCCGGACTAATGTATAGAAACATTTTGTTGACCACCAACATGTGAACCCACAATAGTCACTTTTCCTATTGGATGTGCCCAATCACCACAGAGCAACACAACATCCACAGTGGCCTGTGTCTTACTGAGGGCAATGATAGAAGGGAAACTACTCCCTGGCTGCATCCAGCAAAATGAAACAGAAGGTCCAAGGCTGGCCCAGCTCTCTGGAATCCTAGCCAGACTACTTGTACACTACTTACTAGCTGTGTGACCTTTGGTAACTTACCTAACCTCTCTGTGCCTCAGTTTTCTTGCCTGTAAATAGAATAACAATATATAGCACTATGTCAAAGCTAATCAAAATCTAGTGCTCTTCTTGAATGTTAGTGAAATTTCAAAAGAAATATTGCATTTTAAAACATATCAAAGAAGCATTTAAGGATCTTGAAAGACATATTTCTACCTTATTCACGAAAAGTAGAGAACACTGAGCCTTTCTACCCTTGATAATTTCAAGATAGAGCAAAATAAATGATATTTGATATCAAGCCTGATTTTTTTTCACAGCCAGAAGTGGTTGGGGGTGGAGTGTGGAGGGCAACAGCTTCAAATACACATGAATAAAAATTGTGTGAAGACAGTTTGGCAGTTCCTCACAAAGCTAAACATAGTCTTACAATACGATTCAGCAATCACACTCCTAGGAAGCCGCCCAATGAGTTGAAAACCTATGTGTACATGAAAACCTGTACAAATGTTTATAGCAGCTTTATTCATAACTGCCCCAAACTGAAAGGAACCAAGATGTTCATCAGTAGGTAAATAAAAACATGTACACAGGACAGGTTGTACACAGTATTATTCAGTGATATAAATAAATGAGCTACCAAGCCATGAAAAAACATGGAGACACCTTAAACGCATATTACTAAGTAAAAGAAGCCATTCTGAAAAGGCTATATAAAGTATGATTCCAGTTATATAACATTCTAGAAAGGACAATACTATGGAAACAATAAAAGAACTGAGGGGTGGGAGGAGATGAGCACAAGGGGATTTTAGGGCAGTAAATATATTCTGTATGATCTGTAACGGGGGCAGCATCTGTCCTACACATTTGTCAAAACCCAGAGAAGTACACAACAAAAAGAATGGACCCTATTGGGAATTATGGGCTCTAGGTGGTAATTTATCAATACCAGCTTGTCAATTGTAAAATGTGCTACCCTAATGCAGGATGTTAATAATAGAGAAACTGATATGGAGGTTGTTCTGGAAACCGTGCTATCTGCTCACTTTTTATATAAACTTAAAAATTATCCCGAAGAGTAAAATCTACAAAGATATTTAAAAATAAGGATGAAATCCAAAGTTTCCAAATGATTCTCTTGAGACATCTCTTTCTCTTAAGATATCTTTTAAAAATCATCTCTTAACCCAAACTTCCAGCAAGTCCTCGAAGCTCAAAGGGGGAAAGATTCCTGATCAGATTTCAAATGAGATTTTCAATCAGCGTCAGAAAAATGTCACCTAAGACTTAAGATTACACTTTGTACTTTTCATTTAAATTAGTTTTAAAAACTTTGAAACTTCATTTCATCTGAAGTGTCATTATCTTGGAACAACGGAAACATTTCTGTTAACAATCTGCCTGGCTAACAGTGCAGGAACCTGAATGCGCACACATGTGCCGATGGCCCCCAGAACACCAGCCCCCACCCCTGTGGGCATCAGCAGGTCCTCGCTTAACATCGTCAACAGGTGCCTGGAGACTGCTTTTTAGCACAATGACATATAGTGAAATCAGGTCCTCAAATAACGTGCTTTGTTCAGTGTCAACTGGGATTGTGTTTTTCTCATGGACGTTAACAGTGCCGAGCGCTATGTTATCCAAATACCTGCAATAAAAGTCTGCCTTTCTTTCCCAATTCATTTTCTTGGCTCTGATGAATTCTGACAGACCATAGCCACATCCTTAAGGAGTGGTCCCCAGGCTTTTGAATAGCAGCATTTCTACATCATCTTTAACTATGTACCTTTCAAAAAGAAATGGAAGAGCATAGCTGCCTTGCTTGTAGATTCATCACACTAAATATGCTCAAAGAGCAAACAAACAAGAGATGATGATGGAGGTGGGGGAAGGCAAGGATTTAATCTGTGAAACTTGAAATCTGATATCCTCCGCTAAGTCTTCCATTCGATGTTTGATTACAAAATGAATAAATAAATATTCTAGAATTTCTTCTCAATTTCCTTTCCAACTTAAGTTATGGCAGCACTCACTAAAACAAATCAAATATGCCTCTTCCCTACCTAAAACAATCATCACTTGCCATTGCACTCAAAATCAAATCTAACTTCCTCGCCAGAGCCTCCCAGGTCAGACGCCGCAGCCTGGTCCCCACCTGACCCCTGAGCACAGTTCCAGCTGCTTATGGGTCTCTCCTGAGGTCCCCTCTCTCCATCAGACTCCAGTTCAATCGCTTTCTATAAGACTTCACTGTTTTATTTTGTCCCTAGTACTCACTGTTGCCAAAGGTGTTCAAAGCAGTTAGAACAGTGACTGAAAGTATAAGCTTAAGGGCCACACTGCCTCTCTATTGTGTGACAACAGACCTGTACTTCACTTTTCTCATTAAAAACTTCTTTAAAAACACATTGATGATTTTAACCATGAGTAAGTGTATCACTCAGTGTTAAATATCTTCACATTGCTGAGCAACAGATCTCCAGCACTTGCTCATCTTGCAAAACTGAAACTCTGCACTCACTGTTTGAACAGCAGCTCTCCAGTCCCCCACCCAGCCTCTGGCGACCACCATTCTACTTGTGTTCTCTGCATTTGACTACTTTGTGATTGATTCATTTCATTTGTCCTCAACATTCATCCACGCTGTAACCAGAGACGTAGTTTCCTTCTTTTTTAAGGTTAAATCCCATCCTGTG